AGCTACTTTTTTGTATTTTTAGTAAAGATGGGGTTTCACTATGTTGGCCAGGCTGGTCTTGAACTCCTGGCCTCAGGCAATCCAACCGCCTCAGCCTCCCAAAGTGCTGGGATTATAGACATGAGCCATCATGCCCAGCCACCTGGTTATTTCTTATATGTCTAGAGTCCCACAAAGACTGACTAGGTCAGCCAGAGCTCTTGCCAGGCTTCCCTTTAATTCAGGATTACTTTTACTCTTTGGTCATGTAAGAACATTCATTTCCTGATTTGCCTCCCTTATACATTTAACTACTCATGTTTTTCATAACACCATTATAGGTTATTGTATTTGAATACTTACTAGGGACTAAAATAAATTCACACTGCTATTTTGCTGGTGAAGTGTCCTACTGTGTAAGTGAAGGTTTTAGTTTTGTAGATTTAGATGAGTAAGTTAAAATTTTCCTTTCTGGTTCTTAATTTGTTTTCTAATTTGGGGTAAAATGAAGTTAGATTGGGGCTGAGAAGAAGCTTGGAAAAGGAGCTCTTCATATTAGTAATGCATATTTTATACACCTCCCAACTCCAAGACCCTTCTCCTCAGAGCTGTTTTGAGGGAAGAGAACATTCCTGATCACTAGGTTGCCCTTCTTCTCTTTGAGTTAATCCTGTGGCCTCCACAGCAGGTAGAAAATTCTGGAGGAGTAGCACTCCTTATGCTCTCACAAATTTTCTTTAGCATTCCCATTCCGGCTCATGTCTTGTGAATACAGATACAGTTGGCCCCAATTTCTTTCTAGTGGGCGGGGGTTAAAGGCGTAGAATGTTGGTGAAAAGTTTTGTACTATTGTGCAAAGTAGTACTGTACAAATTATCTTCTGCCTCTATCCCATAAGACCTTTTGAACAAAGCCCAATTCTAGAATTCTGGAATTTTACTTTAGAACTTTCCATTGGCTAAATTTTTGATTATTCCTAAAAAATCAGTATGCTGGAGGACACATTTTATTTTATTAATATTTTTGAGACGGGTTCTCACTCCTGTTTCCCAGACTGGAGTACAGTGGCACGATCACGGCTTACTGCAACCTCCACCTCCTGGACTCAGGTGATTCTCCCACCTCAGCCTCCTGAGTAGCTGGGTCTACAAGTGCACACCACCACATCCAGCTAATTTTTTTGTATTTTTAGTAGAGATGGGGTTTTGCCATGTTGCCCAGCCTGGTCTTGAACTCTGGACTCAAGTGATCTACCTGCCTCTGCCTCTTAAAGTGCTGGGATTACAGGCGTGAGCTACTGCACCTGGCCATGGTCTGCATTTTAATTGTCCTAAGTCATTGTGTTTTAATGTGAACGTCAGACATCTTGTGTCAGTGGCTGCTCTGGGGACAGCCCCGGAATGGAGGGGGGGAGAGCCTGGAGTGAGGTAGCTCAGGACTCAGAGAGAACTTCCACTTTGGTAGGAGACATCTCAGGCCTGCCTGTAGCTAGTAAATAACATTTTGACTCTGAAAGCCTCCTCTTCCTTTCAGGTATAAGCTATACCTTAGCCTTTAACTTTCAAATTAGAAATGTTTATTTAGGGTAGCAATGGGAAATAGAAGGTAAGTTAGCAAAGTCTGCAGAAGTTGGAGAACTCATAAACAATAAAATACCAGAAAAGTGTTACCCAAAATGCAACATTGAAAAAAGGTAAACATTAAAAAAAAAATTGAGAGCTTAGACTAAAGGCACCTGGGGGGAGGTAACATATACCATGATTTTTTTGCACTCTCTTTTTCTTTTGCCCTGTGATACTTGTCCATCTTTTATGAAGGTCATCTTTTATGAAATTCAATAATATTAACCAATGTTAGGGTGTCTCCTGAGGCAACATGGGATTATATGGTAGGTAAACAGTAGGCAGTTGCTGATTCAAAGGAAAAGATGACTTAGGAACACAATTACCCAGTGCCAGTGGTCTCTTTTAGTCAGAGTCCTCAATCTCTGTGGGGATCACCCTTTGGCCTGGACTTTATTGAGCTGCCAGATTAAAGGCATGAGAATTGAGCCTCAGTTTTTTCCCATTTCTATTCTTAGATAATCCACTCATTCTTTTTCAATTTACCACAAACAGTCCCAGAAAATGTTGAGAACTGAGTGTAAGCAATAATCACTGATATTATATGGTTCCTTGTAGCTTGCAAAGCAGCTTTCCATACATTATTGCATTTAGTCCTCCCGATAACCCTGTGAAGTAGGCGTTATATTATTATTATCATCACAGTTTCACAACTGTGGAAACAAAGCTTGAAGAGATGACTGGACTTGCCTAAGTTCACGGAGAGAGGAAATGGCTCCCAGCTCAGGTGTTTTTTTGTTTGTTTTTGAGATGGAGTCTTGCTCTGTCACCCAGGCTGGAGTGCAGTGGCATGATCTCGGCTCAGTGTAACCTCTGCCTGCTGGGTTCAAGTGATTCTCCTGCCTCAGCCTCCTGAGTAGCTGGGTCTACAGCATGCGCCACCACATCTAGCTAATTTTTATATTTTTAGGAGGGACAAGAGTTTCACCATGTTGGTCAGGCTGGTCTCAAACTCCTGACCTTGTGATCTGCCCACCTCAGCCTCTCAAAGTGCTGGGACTACAGGCATGAGCCACCAGGCCTGGCCATGCTCAGGTGTTTTGATCCTAAGTCCTGTTGCTTCCCAGTTCACATTGATTCAGAGGAGCTGCCATTTGTCCCCCACGCTCCTTTCACTCTGATTAATAACAACAATGGTAATAGTGGCCAATGTTTGAGGGGTATTCACATGATGCCAAGTACATCCCATTTAATCCTCACACCAATTGTATTCTACAGTTGAGTAAACTGAGGCTCAGAGAGGGTAGGTAAGTCTCAGAGAAGTTGGGTATGTGGACCAAGGGTACATGGCTAGTAGGTGGTGGAAACAACATTCAAACATAGACCTGTTTGGTGTCTGTGCTCTTAAACACGCGATTATGACATTGCTGTGCTCTTTGGTTTCTCTTTCAAGGTTTCTGGCTTTGTCCAAATGTTTGATTCAACACAGCAGAAGCACACTGGCTGCTTTCAAGGGCAAAGAACCAAACTACAGGCTGTGGGGAAGACATAGAGAAGGAACAATGGGTTGTGCAGGATTTGTGAGAGTGGGAAGCACCACTGACCTGCAGACGGGACTGACTGAGCAAGACAGACAGTAACGGTGGGGCGCAGACACGCTACCCCAACATACGGTACCTTGGCATATTGAATAGTGTAAGCTGAAGGAATTGGAAAAAAACCACATAGGCAGGAAGGTCTCTGTGACCTTCACCCACCCTTCCTTCCTGAAGGAGGTCCTAAAACCTAGAAGGCCTCCCTGCCCTCCCCTGCAGCAGGTCTTCAGGTGCTCACATGAGAAGTGCCCTCCCCACATCTGAAGGAAAAGAGCGTCCTTATCTCTGAGGACACAGGACACAGAGAAAACTCTGAACAAACAGGCCTGCCGAAGTTCCCCCAGCCGATTACCGTTACATCATACTCTTTTCCCTCTCATATTTCTCCATGACTGTCCACTCTTCATCAAACCTACTATAAAAAACAGGTTTCACTGTTTCTTGGGGTCTTCATTTCCTTATGAAGGCTCCTGCACCCATAAAACTTACATTTAAATAAATTTACATGTTTCTTCTCTTGTTAATCTGCTTTTATTAGAGAGGCCTCATCCATGAGCCTAGGATGGGTGAGGAAAATATATTTTTAGTCACTACAATAACAGATGCATTAGTCAGAAGGGACATGGAGCCTACAGGGGGACTGGGAAGAAAGCTGGATGGATTAACCTACGTCCAGGCATCAGGGACTTCATACGGATCCTCTGCCCTAAATTATTTGGATTTCATTGCAGGATGGCAGTGCTTAACACTGAGGCATTCCTTACTAAGAATGACCTATCTTAAGGCACGTGGAGGGCTCAGAGTTACCAGCTGGGTACAGGGGGCTGCTGGAAACACACTATGAAGGCAGCAGCCTGCTCCAGACCGGGAACACAGACTGAGAGTGGCAGGACTCTCCTATTGGCTACAAATGCTTCTGCACTAAGTAAATCCTAAAAGATACAACTTCTTTGATGGAAAAGCCGTAATACACTTAAATGTTACTTAACCCAGCAATCCCATTACTGGATATATACCCTCAAAAAAGAAATCATTCTATTATTAACATACATGCACGTGTATGTTCATTGCAGCACTATTCACAATAGCAAAGACATGGAATCAACCCAAATGCCCATCAATGATAGACAGGATAAAGAAAGTGTGGTACATATATACCATGGAATACTATGCAGCCATAAAAAGGAATGAGATCATGTCCTTTGCAGGGACATGGATACAGCTGGAAGCTGTTATCCTCAGCAAACTAACACAGGAACAGAAAACCAAACACCGCATGTTCTCACTTATAAGTGGGAGCTGAGCAGTGAGAACACATGGACGCAGGGAGGGGAACAACACATACTGGGACCTGTGGGAAGGATGAGTGGGGGAAGGAGAGCGTCAGGAAGAATAGCTAATGCAGGCTGGGCTTAATACCTACATGATGGGTTGATCTGTGCAGCTAACTACCATGACATATATTTACTATGTAACGACCTTGCACACCTTGCACATGTACCCTGGAACTTAAAATAAAATTAAAAATTTATTTTAAAAAGCAACACACAGTTCCTTGCCATTAAGAGATATTTAGCTAGTTTCCTTGCTGATTGAACCTGGCAGAGGTGAGGGGGGAAGTTGGTGACAGAAGGACTAGGAATGAGGCAATTTGTCTAACCCCATAAGAGGAACACCCTGGAAGGACGGAGCAGGTGGTGGAATCTACATCTCTTTCATCTTCCATCACTCCCTGGTGAAGCAGTGGGGTGCTGCTTCTCCCAGTCCTGGATCCTGGTTTGAAGCCCTGGAGGCACATTAGAATCACCTGAGGGGGCTTTTAAATCCACCCCGTGCCTGGGCCCCACCCAGAAATCTCAGGAAGTGCAGCTGAGGTAGGGAAGTTTTTAAAGCCTCTTCAGGTGACTGTGAAGCATAGAGCGTATTACTGCTCAAGAGTTTCAGAGTCAGAATCGAGTAAGTGACACAAGTCTCCAGTGAATCTTCCCAGTGTTTCGGTGAGTTTGGAAGGGCACAGTCATTGTAGATAGATTCTTAAAGAGGGGAAGTGGGGCGCAGAGAGGAGGAGCAATTTGCCTGGGTCGGTGGCCAGGTTGGGGAAGAAGGCAGCCTCCTTTACTTTTTGGTCCGCCACACCCTTTGTTTTTCTGGTTGCATATTATAGCATTAATTGTTCTGATGGCTTAGCTTTATTTGTACTCAGGCATGAAATTTCCACTCCATCATCGAGCAGCCTTTCCAGTTAGACCTACATACTGTTGTAAAGTGTTTCCTGGCAGGGAAATCCAAATATTCCGTCTCTAATTTTTAGCTCTTTGCAAGTCTGAGCAGTGGGTCATGAGACTCGCACAACTGTTTAGAAGGAGCGGGGCCCACGTTTCCTGCATTCTGTCTAAAGCATAACCCATGTGCGGGCGGTGAAAAGCAAACGTGGGGGGCATTCAGACCTAACGCAGTCTCGGCTTTCAACCCGGCTGTGAAGCCAGCAGGGCTGTCATGGGACCTACAGCGCTTAATTCTTTCAGAACTCAGAGCTAACTCCCCGCGGAGGCCTGGGCTGGAGAGGCCACCTGAATGGTGGCCTGCTTAAAGGTGCGGTCATGTTTCCTGATTTAACTGGGTCAGTTTGGTTGTTTATTTTTGCCGTTTGATTTCAGGGCAGGTTTGGCTTCAGTGTGCTGGCAATTCCCAGATAGCTTATGCTCTGAGGGACTGGGACAGGTGCTCAAGAAACTCCAGTGACTATTATTTAATTTTGTTCCTCCCCAAGCCTCATGGTTTATGTATGAGTTGTTACGTGACAGAGTTCTATTTTTAACCGCAAACATGCTCTGCTCAACTGGAATCATGTTCTTTAGACACTGCATTATGCAAGCTGGCTCCAAAGTTTGCCAGGAGTGCTAAACTGTGACAATTTCCAGCCGTAGTCACCGACACCCCCTCAGTGAACCAAACAGCATGCTTACTTGCTTCAAGATAGAGGTTCAGCTGTGTTAAATAACTGTCTGATGCTACCTGATGCGAAAGCCACGTCTGGCTGTTTTCATCAGCTTCTCTGATCTTGTCTCCTGTCTAAGCCCAGAATAAATCCTTTGGGTCTTGGGGGAGGACATTAAAAAGGCTTTGATGAAGATTAAACCTGAAACAAGTCATAATGAGGCATAAACAAGGTGATACTCTTTAAGGTATCTTCCCAGGCTCTAAGCAAGAGAGGAGAAAAGATAGTTTCAATGGAGGGCATCTGTCGAGAACCCCCTCTGATAAAGATGTTCCTGTGGAGTCATTTACATCCAAAAGTTAGGACATAGACAAGAGCACTGGCAGGGTCTCAGGGTTTTTTTTTTTTTTTTTTTTTTTCATGGGGTGAGCATGAAGAAGTGGCTCTTAGGAATTGCATAGGGCCATGGATCTTCTGACTTCTTAAGACTGACATCAGGTTTATCTAAGATGATCCAGGAAAGGGGCGGAGCTAGAAGTCTCTGCAGGGAGATTTTAAGTATTTATCCGGATTCTTTGGTGGCAAGCAACAGAAATAAACTCTTTTTTTTTTTTTTTGAGACAGAGTTTCGCTCTTGTTGCCCAAGCTGGTGTGCAGTGTCGCAATCTTGGCTCACTGCAACCTCTGCCTCCTGGGTTCAAGTAATTCTCCGCCTCAGCCTCCTGAATAGCTGGGATTATAGGTATGTGCCACCACGCTTGGCTAATTTTGTATTTTTAGTAGAGATGGGATTTCTCCATGTTGGTCAGACTGGCCTCAAACTCCTGACCTCAGGTCATCTGCCTGCCTTGGCCTCCCAAAGTGCTGGGATTACAGGCATGAGCCACCAGGCCCAGCCAAAATAAACTCTTAAGAAGAGTTAATGTATTTAAGTTATTAATGTATTAAGAAAAGGACTTTTTAGAAAATGAGGTCCATGAGAGCAAGGGCTAGCTTGTTCACTGGTATTTCCTCAATAGAATAGTACCTTGAATATATTAGGCACTCATTGTCTTAGTCTGCTCAGACTGTTAGCAAAATTGCTTAGACTGGGTAATTTATAAACAGCACAGATTTATTGCTCACAATTCCGGAGTCTGGGATGTTCAAGATCAAGTTGCCAGCAGATTTGGTATCTGATGAGAGCAAGTTCCTTATAGTTAGTGCCTTCCATGTGTCCTTATATGGCAGAAAGGGCAAGCTGGCTCCCTCATTCCTTTTCTGTAGGGCACTAATCCCATTCACAAAGCCTCCTAAAGGTCCCACCACTTAATATGATCATGTTGGGTAATATGTTCTATAAATTTTAGAGGAATGCCCACATTCAGATCATAGCACCCGGTAAATATTTGTGGACTAAAAGAAGTTATGGGGTGGATTGAAGCATTGTTAGGAAGACTGGGAACCAGTTTTGGAAAAGGATAAGAATGAAATAATATCTGGAGGGGCTTAGGTAGCAGGAACTAGGTCCCCGACAGTCTCATTGGGACACCACTGCTGGAATACCTGCTTTCCAAACATTCTTATATTTTTAAGTGTCTGCACTCATGATTCAAAATCCAGAGAGTGTGAGTGTGTGTATAGAAATCAGGGCTCTCCAGAGAAAAAGAACCAACTGTGTGTGTGTGTGTGTGTTTGAAATAAGGAATTGGCTCATGTGATTGCAGAGGCTGGCAAGTTCAGTCTGCAGGGTGGGCTGGCAGGTTGGAGACCCAAGCAGAACCCATGTTTCTATTTGAAGGCCATCAGTAGGAAGAGCTGATGTTGCATATGAAGGCAGTCAGCTAGAGAATTCTTACTCAGATGAAGGGTTGCTCTTCTAGTTCTACTGAGGCTTCAAGTAGCTGCATGAGGACCACTCAGTATGGAGGGCAATCTTCTTGACTGATGAAAATGTTAATCTCTTTCAAAAACACCCTCACAGAAACACCCAGAATGTTTGACCAAATATGTGGGCACCCTGTGGCCCAGACAAGTTGACACACAAAATTAACCATCACAGAGAAGGAGAGAGAGAGTGAAACTGACCTAGCTTGAGTCATGTGCCCACCCCTTTGGCTGGTAGAAGCAGGGTATTTTCATTGGCAGTTCTAGAGGCTTTGAACCATGGGGCAGAACTGATTTCCTAAAAGGAAAGTGGAGAGCTGTTACCAGGAGAAGGAGAATAAATAATGGGAAGCCACAAAACAACTGGCTCTTCTGGAAGGATGGTTTTATTTTTCTTATTTTGTTACTTGCTTCCATGTGAGTAAACATCAAAGCACATCTGTGCTGCTTTGCTTGACTTCTTCCAGCTCCTCTTCTCTATACAAAAGGTAAAACAGCTGGGATCGGGAAAAGTAATTTTTTTTTTCCCTTTCTCTCTTCACCTACAGTCCTGAGTAGCAGTGATGTTTGAGGGGTGTTGGTTACCTTCAAGCCCTTGCTTTTGGGGGTCTCTGCTAATGATTGAGCACTCAAATGCTGCCTTATTCTGAAGAGGTCCCTCCACGCTGTAAAAGGCATTCGCAAGACATCCCTGCCCTGGAAGAGTTTGCATCTGTTGGACTTTGTGCATTTTTCTTCTCTCCTGTCCTCTCACTAGTGTGGCTGCTACGAACCCATATAGTCCTCTGGATTTAAACAGACATGCTTCCCTCAAAGTGCTTTATATCTGTTGGTCAGAGATGGTCATAATGTACTGAATTTGTTAGAATGACACGTTGCTATGTACCAGGAAGTTATCACAGGACGTCTAAGTCTGTCCTGTCTATGATGTGAAGGATATGTCGTTAGATGCAGCATCCTTGTTCAGTGCACAATCTGTCTACTTTATGTGGCAGGCCTGAACTACTGAGGGAGAGAGACCACCAGAAATCAGGAAGGCATAACTTACTTAGTGCTCTTATGAATGGTGTGTGCTAGGGTTGGGGGCGGGGTGGAGTTCCCTTTATTTGTGTTCTGACCAATAGCTGAACCACTGATCAGATTCAAGACAGAATCTTGAATCCAAGACTCCTTTAGTGTGGCAAGTCCAACATAGTTCCCGAGGAAGCTGCCTGCAAGGAATCAGGGACCACTGCTCTCCTTTTAGGGGAATTCCTGAGAGACCTGTAGCTCAGCCCAGACAAGCAGGGAGTGGCAATGGGTGTATTGCTATTCCAGGATGCAACTGCTGTGAGATCCTCTTCGGAGGTTTATAAGCCTGACTTGTCATTAGCACATTAGATATAAAGCTCATTGCCACTACAATGTTGTTTCATTGCCAACTCTGCAGATTCATGGCAGGGTAGACAAGATCAATAGTCTAAAATGAAAACAGATTTTAAAATGAACAGAAATTTAATGCTTTTTCCTGTATGCCAATGGATCACATGGTACACATCTTGGGGTATGCATAGCCCACTTTGTAGACCACTGATCTAGAGCCTGGTACTCCCCTTACAACACCTGTGCAGGCAGAGCTAACTGACTACAGCACCGTGGACCTGGAGGCATCCCCACCCTCCATTACAACTGGCCGACACATGGTTTCTAGGCTAGGGGTTGGCAAATTACAGCCCATTGGCCATATCTGGAAAGCTGCCTGTTTCTATAAATAGTGCTTTTTTGAGACACAGTCACACTCACTTGGTTATGTATCATCTATACCTTTTTTTCACAGTATAAAGGCAGAGCTGAGTAATTGCCACAGATAGCAGAAGGTCCGCAAAGCCTCAAATACTTAGAACCTGTCCGTTTATGGAAAAAGGTTGTTGACACCTGCTCGGGGCAGACAGTATTGGTCCCTGTCTGTTGATAATGAAAGGGAAGACTTGTCTGCTGCCCCTGCTCTGGAGTTAGGCCGGAGTTTGCAGAATAGCTCGTTGTGCTAATGAGGCTCAGCTTGGCCCTGCCTTTTGGGGATTAGCATCTAATCACGGCTAGTTTTCTTAGAAAGCTCATTCACTGGTCACAAGGACGCAGAGAAGTGAGTGTGGATGAAACTGGTGCTGGTCACCCGAAGTGTGGGTCAGCTGTGTCCTCTCTGCTAGCTGGCCC